GGGAAAAAAGGTGCAAGGGGAGCAGGCCCAACAAGCGGAGCAGGGCCGGTCATTCCCATTGTCGCCAAACGTGCGTGTGGTTCGTGGTGGAGATGAGACAGCCAGCCCATGCTCGGAAAAAAAGGCTTCAGCAACACACGGCGGCGGCTGCAGGTGGATGGATGGACGGACTGCGGTATGTCTGGTTGATGTTCGCTCACACGCCCCAGGGTCGAGGCCGGCCGCTTGGCATATGGCCGTCCAGTCCTCAGCGTCTGTGTGTTGCTGTTGCCGCTGCTTGCTTGCTTCCGTCCGGCGGATTCGCTTGAATCCGAGAACGCCATGATCGCCAGAGGCAAACCAGTGTACAGCCAGCTAGATCACTAATATGGCAAGTGATATTGGGCAAAACGAAATTTGTTCATGGTCTTCATGCTTGGAGAGCGATCAGCTTCGGCTGGGGGAAGAGGTGGCGTCAAACAACGACAGAGAGCCGTGAAAACAGAAGAAAACAGCAACACATTCGGGAACAAAAAGAAACAATACACCCGGACGAAAGATGGCGTCCGAAGATGGCGCAGTAAGAGACGCACGGTCAGTGATACACGCAAGGCGGGAGCCGCTCGCTAAGCAAGACAAGCGGAACGGCGTCGTCTGCGTTAACCAGGGTTGGGCCTCGATGGTCACGATCCAGTCCTCAACTTAGCGCGCTGATGCTCCGCTCACCCCTGTCCAATATACACGTCAGTTTCAACTTCAGGACACCGCTGCTTGGGAGTGCGAGTCGTATCGTGCAGCCATGAAAGATATTTTGGGCGTGGATAAACAGCGGGGGCCACATAAACGAATTCAAACTGACCTTTTTCGGTAGTGTTCGCGGCTGATCCTCGCCTCGCTGACCCCGTTTTTGAGGGGAGTGAGAGGAGGTGAGAGACGGGCTAGGAAAGATGAGCCGCAAATGCAGCGGTGTTGTTGGCTGGGCTGGGCCTTTACTCGCCCTGCTGGAGTTATGTCTCGAGACATACAGACAGACGACACACCAACCTCATCATCTCTGCATAAACAAGCTGTGTGGAAGGATTCGAGAGGCGAGAAAGACAGGTCAACATCCTGTGGTTGCTGCAGCAGTGAGCTGTAAATCGAATCAGGTCAGACTGACCCCGGTGTGCCAAGCCCGTGTTTATGGATTCGCGTGCTACACGAGGGGGCCACAGGAGAGGTGTACAGTGCCTGTCCATGCATATGGGTGTCTCCACACGCAAGTAAGCTTGAATTCTGGGCACCCGGTGAGCTCAAAATCGCCAGGGGAAGGTTGATGCCGTCAGGCACACGGTTGTACATTCTTGTGCGAGCGACCGCCGTCTGTTCTCCATGCGCAAACGCTGACCGACAGCTTCCGGGTGAGCAAGGCAGCCATACACAGGACGCATTGCAAAGCAGCCTAATGTCTGTGGCATCGAGCCAATGCTGCACCTGTAGTTCTTGCCGTAGCCTGTCTGTAGGGAACTTCGGACGACTGGAGCGACGGGATGATGGCTGGTCTTGACTCAGCTTGACATCTTGACTCGGCATGCACGCTTGATTCGACATGAACACTTGCCTCCTCCCAGCTGCAATATCTGCCCCATTAACGGTTTGTCTGAGAGTCGCACGGCCGCGAGCCGCCCAGATCAGAAGAACAAAACCAGAGCCGAAGCAGTTCAGTGTCAAACACTGCCAAGAAGACCCTTCTTTGTGCCTTTTCCCCATTTGTCTCTCGTGTATCTTCTTTGGGTAATCACAGCTGAAAGGGTTTTCTTTTCTGCTTTATTAGGGACCCCTAGTTAATAGACTTAGGGCTCTCACTCTCGAGTCTTCTGCTGCCACCCGGCTGGGCAAACGTTTGGCGGTAGACCCAGAGAAGAATCAATATGGTACTTGACTGGTATGTGCGTGCGCGCGTGGTTGCGAGTGGTCAGGCAGTCTTGCAGCCAGCCGCGCAAGAAGAAAGGCGTGGCGTTGATGTACCATCACACCATCGATGGAAGCGCCATGGGTCAAGGTTAAGGTGAAGTCGTCCGTCCTCCCCCCCCCCCCCCCCCCCCCCCCCCCCCCCTCAGTCCCAAGTCTCAGCCCCGAGTGTGACTGTATGATGGATGAGGCGGATCGGAGGAGTGTAGGGTATGGGAAAGCGGGGCGCTAGAGGTGCGGAAGAGGCTTGCATGTGGTTGCGATGAGGAGGATGCGAGTAGTGAGCGCGTGTGGTGGTTGGTGGCAGGAGAGGTGAGAGGTGAGAAGAGGGGCCTCGAGGAGGGTGTGCGTCGTCGTTGTTGTTAGGTGGCGTGAGCGTGACTTTGACTTGGCTAGTGGAGACGGGAAACGGGGAAGGGGGAAAGAAGCATACGCCCCCTCCCTAAGCCGGAGTAATTACCGGCACGCAATATGCGCATATGCGTATAACCGTTTAACCCGATAACATGAGGTTGAGGGATCGGGGTTTCGGGAGTCTCGGCGGGGCAATCGGCGACGGTAGCGGCCCCATTTTCTTGGCCCCGCTGAGAGGTTAGGGCGGCGCTAGACACGCGGCATCCCAGTTCCTGCAGTAGCCGGGGCCTAGTTTTCCAAGGTTACGCACTCTTGGCACCTCCGGGGAGCTAGGGGGCTTTCAAAAAGTCGACCAGGGGTAAATTAAGGTAAGAAAGGGCACTAGGAAGGGAAGCATCTTATCCGAGACCCGGCAGAACGCGCAAGACTCGTGTTGGGCACAACACATATCACAGCCAAGCAAAGGCTGCCGGAGGGCACGTTCATGACCTGACAATAGGATGGCCCGGCACAAATGGCACCAATGGCTTCAATGGCTTTCGTGTATGCACCAGATCATACCGTACCCATACCACATAGGCAGCCATGCCTCTCTGTTTCCGGCTCTTCTTCCCTGGGTCCATCTGGACAACAAAAGCTTTACCAATCGATGCCGGCCTATGACCACCCTTAGCGACCATCTGCTGAACAAGCTACTATCGAACTTCCCCCACGAAATGCTACAGTGCGGTGATTCCGTTCTCCTGTCTGCAAGTTTTTGCCCCCTGAATGCGTGCTGTCTACGCTAGTACCCGCCAGGCCCAATTTAGCTCCGGCCGCACGCACCATGCTCCCGGGCACGCTTTGCCAGATTGAACCGAAAAGATCGAATGACAGCTTCGTGCCAAACCACGCCAGCTGGGCATTTGGTATTGCCGGACGATCCCAAAAATAAAAGAGAGTACTCACCTGGCTCCGCTACTCTGGTCTCCGCTATACGACCCGTCAGGCTGGGCATCAGAGCACGGGCTGGCGGTTTGTCAAAGAGTCTCCCTGCGCGTCTGCGTCTGTGTGACTGTTGTTGGCGCGAGCATACCCATGAAGCAGAAGTGATCATCCTCACACAACATCCGACTTTCGAGTCGGTAACATGGGAATCCAATGCTGGCGTCTGATTACTCTTCTCCCCATCTCGTATCTTATGTCTCTTTGCAGACTCATTCAGGTCTCGTCTCTCTTCTCACTAATTACTCTGTCAGTAAGCGTGCGAGGCTCTATGGCGTTCATGTCCTCTGCTTACTTGCGCCTTTTCCTCGTTTCCCACACGTAAGCTTGGTTAAACTCTTGGGCGATTCCCGATTGCCTTGGCGGCGCGGGGACGAGTGCCGCACGAAGAGGTTGGGGCAGATTCGTCAGGTCATGGTTGCCCAGAAAGAGCCGATCACACCCTTTTAGGAACCCCGTACCCATCGCCTGAGAACTAGGCAAAAGCTCGTCATACGTCGTAGTGCAGCAAGCTTTCTTAGTGAGAATTACAATCGCTGGTCTTCGGGTCATGATCTCCTATTCGTGGTGTAGCGTGGTATAGTGCTTGCTCTCTGGCTCCAGGTTACCCGAGGGTAGTCGCAAGCAATTTGCGTTTTGTTAACCCTACTACACATGGCCGCAAGGTATTATCTAAGCGTCTCGTACATGGAAGGTGGCCACAAACATCAGTGGTTGTAATAGCTACCCAAGAGATGTACCATTCGGAGGATCACAGACAGTCCAGACAAGTACGAGACCTACCGTTGAGATGTCGCAAACGCAGGGTTTAGGTTGAGACATATTGCACTTTCTCGATTAGGTCTTATCATTAAATTATTTGCCCCCGTACTTTGCCTCTTCGTCGTAATCCCGCAATATCCAACGTTTTTTCCGACGCTTCTGCCGCGATGCATCTAATTCGCAACAGTTTCCCAACTTACATCTAGCTTGCCGGCCGTAGAGATCGTCAAGGTAGGTGGTAAGTGGCAGCCAGGTAGTAGCGCGTCTGCGCCGACAGCCTTGGCGTTGCCGACAGACCAGACTGCACGACAGAGGATCTTCCGGTTCCATAGCCCGCCTGCCCGAAAATACCTACCCAAGCACCAGTTTGTCAAGGTTCGCGAGTTTGCCCCTCATGTTCGTTGTCAACATCTGAGACAATTATAGAGTAACGGGTCTGGGCAAGACTTCATATGCTTCCCGGGGCTGAAGGCGACATCCCGATGATTATTCATGCCGTGCGAGTATGGCGGCCGCTCGCAATATTGGATGCAGGCGGCAACACATGCTGCGCACCGGCATATCCCGATCAATTGCAGGTCCCGAAAAGCGACTGGCATCCTGCTCCACAGTGGGCTGCAGCACTTCCGCTGTAGCGTTTTTGTCAGTAATTTGGATCACCAAGCATTATTGCCTGCGGAAGATAAACAGACCCATGCCTAGAAGCAAAGGCCAGAGGGAGGCGAAAGGACCGCATCAACTTACCAGTATCCATATTGCGAGCAGCAAGTCTTTTGACCGTAGTTCTTGCAGGTTGCATTGTACTGGGTACCGCAGAGTCCATTGGTGCTGTCACTCACGCCCGAAACTTGCGGCGCACAAGATCCGAAGCCCGATTGGCAGCCCGTTCCGCAATATGTGAGGCTTGAGCCGCTGTGGTAAGGAGGAATCGTCAGTCATGCCAATTGTGGCGTCACGGGCATTCCAGAAGCTTACCAGAATCCATATGGTGAGCAGCAGTTGCCAAACTTCGAGTTTAGACAAGTATAACCATTGGTTCCACCGCAGGTCTGGTCCGGTGACACCTTCGCCGTGGACGCAGGAGCACTGGACGAGGTGGAAGATACTCGAGTCGCGCTATTTGTGGAGGCTGTGCTTGTCTGAGCTCGCGTCTGACTCGAGGAGACAGGTGTCGAGAGCGTGGGCACGGAAGTTGTCGTCGTGGTCCTTGTGGTACCGGGCGCAATGCTGGAGCTAATAGCGCCACCGGCAGACCGGTACCAATTCTCCTTGGGATCATTGAGACACTCGCCCACAGTCACAAGACGGTATCCGCGTGCCTTGGCCGTATCGATCATGAACTGGGTCAGGTTGACCACGGTCTGGTAGTGGACATCGTGGGACAGCTCGATGTAGCTGCTTGCAGCCGCATTTGTTGAAATTCCGCTGGAGAAGCGGTCTTTGGCGGTCTGGATTGTCTCAGGAGAATCATACATGTAGTCCTTAGTGTCGATATTGACATTGATGATGTGGTAACCGAGCGTCTTGAGCAGGTTCTGGCAACCAGAGCCTGCGTTGCATTCAAGGTATGGCGGACGCATGTAGGTAGGTATCCAGCCGAAGAGGTTCCGAAACGACATTTCGTTGTAGATGATCTCGGTCCTCTGGATGGTGCTATTGACTTCGTTCAAGTTACGGTGGGTCCAGGTGTGGCTGGCAATGTGGTGACCAGCGGCGTGCATCCGGCGCATGACGGCCGGCCATGCTGTATCCGGATTATCCATCCGGTTCTTGCCCTTGTTGTTACCGGCAACGAAGAAGGTAGCGGTAACATTCTGAGCCTCAAGTATATCGAGCAATTGAGATGTGTAAATGTACGGGCCATCGTCATAAGTCAATGCCAAAGTTCCAGGGACGGCGCAAGTAGTGATGATTGAGCCTAAAAAAACAATATGTCAGGCCTCTTCCGCGATGCATAATGCAGATGAACCCACCATAAGGTACAGAACCCAGGAGGGGACGGGCGATACTCTCCGTGCTAGCGCCTGGTGGCGGAAAGCTGGTGAGGGCCTGTTAGCAAATCTGCAGGACGTACAGGCTCATGACGACCGAGAAAGCCTCAGTCCAACTTACAAGGTGTCGCAAGAGTCACTGTACGCGAGCTGGCATTGCGAACCGCCGCAGAAGTCTGCCGTCGTTCCACACCAGCCGGCTTCTGAGCAACACTGTCCCGATGCGCAGGAACCGATTCCAGGCCCGCACTCCGCTCGCTTGGTCAGGGGAGCGTGAATAGTTGCGGCCATGGCCGCCCCCGACAGGAAAATGGGCAGTAGTGCATGCATGGCTAGAGAGTTTGAAGCAATCTACGATGCAGAGAGGGTATGATTATGGCAGATCGGCGCTGCGGGCAGGATGAGGGATAGGTTCAGAAGTTGATCCAAAGATGGCGAGGAGTGGTATTTACAAGAGATGCTCGAGAATAGCAGCTGGTCTTTCCGGCCATACACTACGGATACGGATATTGCTTGTTCAGTCCTGCCAAGAGTGCCGATTGAAACCAGTCCCTTAGGTTGGTATCAGAACGAAAGAGACAGAGTAGGCTGACTGAAAAGATGGGCGACTTGGCAGCTGGATCAATGGCGCCGAACAATGCGCATATAACAGCATTTTTTTGGAATACAGATGGATGGAGTCAGACGGCAAAAACGGCACCTGCAGACGCCTCCAACCCTTTCGATACGAGACGGTGCCCCGTTGGACCTAGACTAAGACCCAAGTGACTTGCACGACAACGCGTCGACCACATCTCTGGATCCATCCATGTCTTTGGAGCCGACATTGGAACCATGCCATGACTACATGACAGCAAATCGACGGACCAGGTGTTGAACAGTCGCTATACAAGTTGCAGCGCCATGACAGCCGGTTCAGACACGAGAACACTCTGGGAAACTAGAGCGGGTCACATAGGATGACCCCTCTGAGGACTATCTCCCGATCACGGACCCGGTTCGCCCGGCTAAGGGCTAGGATCAACTAATATTGCTCGGGGTACGAGTCCAACAGCACCTCATTGTTAAATCATGCGTTGGCAGGCTAACGGTGAAAAGGAAAGAATATTTCTCATCTGTCAACACCGCAGGGGCTGAGTGAGACTAGGCATATGGGCCCTTGCATACATGCAGAAGCTGAGCAATATTCCATAGCCTCCCTCCATCCAGACCGAAGGTCCACTGCAGGCGTCCTGAGTGATTGACAAAGTACTTTGTGAGGAGGACTAAGAGAAGACCTTGCGGAAGATCAGAGGCCAGGAGCTGGGGTGTAACGGGGAGTTGACCGGGGGCGGGGACAGGGGGAGACGGAGCGTCTTTTTCCAAGAACCCTTGGCTCTGGGCTGATGATCCCTGCTAGTTCATCTATTCAATTATCCGAGTGCTCCGTGGACGGGGTAGCGGTCGACATGCGGAGGATGTGCGTGCTCGTTTGTCCCCCGTCTCTTCTCAAAGTACAAAGTATCTTCGCAGAGCCTTTTTCACTTGCCCCACACTAAGTCTGGCGGACTGTAACCGTTCAGGGCCTAAGCGATCGAACTTAGGAGGTCGAAGTCTGAGATCCGTTGTCTCGAGACTCATCGCGTTTTTTCCTGGAATGCCAATGCCAATTGATAATAGAAGACAAATATGCGAGGATGAGTGGAAACACATGGCAGACTCACCTGAACAAGAGCTGTTTGTGCTTCCCCTCAGGCCGGCCAGCGGTCGAGATTCTCCTCCTCAGGTGCACGCACTAGTCCTTTGTTAGATCTCCGAAGCTTCGGTAACCTAGAAAATACTTCCGTAAGGTTGACGTGTTCCGGCGAAATGCCGCCCAGTTCAGAGTCTAAAACCAAGACCCGTTTGACTTGACTGACCTGTCCTTTGAGTGCGACAATGGCTTACCCCCAGTTTTCTCCCCAGCGACGTGCCTCGTGCTGGTCAGCAAGCTTGACTGTGGCTCCCGTTACCTTTTCCAGGCACTTGAGGAATCTTTGATGCTGGGCCCACGAAACAAGCCAAGAGAACGCTCCAGTCTTCCTAGCGCCGTCAGCATCCTTTTCTCCGCACGCCAACCTCTTTGGTAGATAAGGTGGGCTCTGAGTCGGAAATTGTCGAGCTGCGTGGACCCAAAGCGCTGGCTAGCACAAGTGCGTCAGAACATTGATGTCATCCCAGGTTGAACATACTAGTGAAGTGGAAACAGTTGAGGGGAAAGGGCAGCTCACAAGGTCTCGATCTCGGTGCTCGTATAGCAAGAGGCCGAGGAAGTCCAAGTCACCAGACTGAAGCGGTGCGCTGATGGCTAGAACCAATGGCAACCCCAACTCCATACAAATTTTGAGATGCACCTCGTCTTCTTTGCGTCGCTGGCACATCTTGGCACCAATTTGGCAGGGCTGCGGCTCCAATACCTGTCCAGTATGCCTAGCGAAGCCTCTGCAGGTCTAAAATTGTAATGCATCTTGCATTTGTTATGCAGATGGCACAAATGCAGAGGCCTCTGCCATCCCATCTTTTGGTTCGTCAGCTAGCAACGAGGGCATATAGTCCCACCAATCATGCCAATTTCAAAGGCACACATGGCGAGGACAACGGCAAATCCTCTGCTCGGAGCAATTAAAATCACCTCCAGGCCGCAGACAGTCAGGCTCTCGCGCTCATGCTCGCGCTGGCGGTGCGCCATCACCAATGGATGTTACATCGGATTTCTGGCGTCCGAGACAATTCGGCAAGTCTTGCAAGTTTGCAATAGGGAGACAGGAACTAGTGTCGTCGTTGCTGCTGGCGCGGGCATTATGGATGGAAAATGGGTTTCTCGGTATTGAATCCTTTTCAAGGAAAGCTGCCATCATTGAAATTAGCTGGACCGGCAGTGGTGCTATTCCGGTCGATGCGGCTGTCCGCTCCCGCCTGTCGGGACTTCTCGTCGTCCGTTATGGACCAAGTCCTTTGCTTGTTTGGGCGAAGCACCATGCCACAGCGACTAGCCCGAGCCAGACGTTGGCTCCAAGCGGCGGGAGAGGAAGCGATCTCAGCATGTGAGGACCAGACTTGCCGTTTGACAGAGGCCGGTGTGGCTTGCGATCCCGAAATTATGCTGGAAGGGAGGCCGCGTATGCATGCCAGTGTTTTCCCCTGTGGCGCTGCGCCAGTCCCGCGCAGACGATGACGAGATGAAGGGGAAGTCTTGGCATAGACGTTTCCTTCTTTCTTCCTGAACGAGCTTTAGAGCGGACGGAAAGGGCAGAAAGAGGCGTCGTAAAGAAACAACCAGCCATTGGCGTAGCTCCCCACCATGTGTATGCAGTTCAGTGCAAGGGGTAGTTTGTGGCGTACGAGCTTGGATCGGGATGGGAAGAAAGGCGGATGACGGGATCGTAGACGGACCGGAATTCCATTGATGGGCTCGCACCCATCCACACCCCTTCGGCCCCCTCCTTTGGACGATGGATGGGATGGCGATGAACATGGGTGATGAAGGAGGGGGCCATGGAAAACTGATTAGATGGGATGCATGAAAGGGGAGTGAGAAAAGGAGGAAGAAGAAACGGGAGAGGGATACACCCCACCTGTATGCAATACCCCCCTGAGTTCTGTGGAATGCTATTAAAGTGCAGACCCCCCGCTCGGACTGAGACTTGCATCTAGCGGGGGCGGGTCCTGTATCATGTCGTGGTGCATAATGCATGACATATGCATATGTGGTCGATGTGCATCCTATGCATCCCTGGAAGCTGACCGAACGTCTTTTGCCTCGTTCTTCCTGCCAACCATCGCATATACGACATCTGTTCCTTCTTCTGCCGCGCATCGACACACATAACGTCGTCTCATTTCGATCCCGACCGAGCTCGAGCTGCCAAGACAATAGCTTCTGTTGGCCTCGAAATGTTGCATACGGGCTTGACGGAATACGACTGGATGCCCAAGGAGTTCTCCGTGCTTTACAAGCAAGCTCATCTCGGCCTTCCCAGCTACTTCACACACCCCTCCTTCCCGCTTTGACGGACCCCTGCCGGTAACCTCGCAAGCTTTTCATCGAAGAAAACTTCCAAGGCTTCCAAGACTTGAACAGGGAGGTGAAATCTCGTGGGAAAAGAAGACGGGCCAGGCGTGATCGTTGGGCCAAAGGCTGGTGGCCAAGCAAGTGCCTCTCTCCGGTCCTTGAGGTGCAAAAGTAACCCTAGGGTAGCTTCCGGGCTTTATCGATTCATCTCGATTCAGCAGTACCCTGGCAGCCCTGCTTATGAACCTTGAAATATGACCATGCAGCGGATTGTCATGCTCAACTCCGCGCCCAGTTCCGAGGATGCATGCCCTCTATGCCTAGTCGTGCTGGCCGTAGCTTTCTCTGGCTTCCCCCAAAAAAGTCCTCAGCAGTAATAACTGTTGACCGGGGGGCGTTCTGCATGACATCAAGCGCCGGAAGAGACCTCGGCGAGAGTGCGATGAGTAGAGAGGGGAGATGAGTGTCTTTGCCTACTTCATGCATCCGGGCTTGCCAGCTTGGCGATTCAACGGATGGACGATATGGCTGCTGAGTGACGAGATACTTCTCGAGAGAGCCTGGTATGTCGGTTGGTCTGGACGCCTGGTCGGAACAGGATTCTGTCATTGTCGTTGTGCTGATGCCATATCGCGCTATTGTTTCCTTCTCCCGTGTAGCGTCGTCTTGCCGAAGCGCGCCTGTTGCGCTTTGGGGGTGGAACCCTCAGCCACCTTCACGCCGCTTGCCATGAACTGCTTTTGGACAGACTACTGCTGATGGTCGCCTGTTTGGCTCCCCAAGTCTTGTCTGCGCGGGTGCTAGCCTGGACCTGAAACTATCATCTCGTCTTCTTTGCCGGGCTGGACTTTGATCTGCCCACGGCCCTGTCGCTATCCCAGCCGCGTGCCGCCGGCTGGGTCTTGGGGGGAGCCTCACTTTACCACTACCAAGGCGCTCACGCCGTGCTGCAAACGTGGATCCTGATTAGGCCTGGCGGCAAATCCAGCCAGCTTCGTGCCATGTCTCAACCTCTGCTTGCCGCATGTGCTGCCATAGAGAGGCTGGAGCAACGATTCGGTTCTGGGCAACCTCGAGTAGCTGACGCCAGGGGGATGGCCAACATGAGTGGGTTGTCTCCTCATCCTTCCTCCTTGTGCCTGTACATCATGTCAGTGCCTCAGTTGGCAAGTCTTTTTAACTCCCGTCTCCGGTCTTTCCAACAAGGGCTTTCTTCCTTTCTTTCCGTACGCCCCTCTCTTCCCTCTTCACGCGTCTTCTTCCAAGAGCTAGCCATTTGTTAGTATAGTCGACCTTTCGACAGGAAGATATCAAGAGATATCCTCCTTCATCTTCATTGCCCTTCTCCACCACTTGTCTCCCTCCACAAGTACCCATCCTTCGTTGATACCCTCGTTTTATACTCGCAATGGATACCCAGATGCTCACCCCCGACACCCCAGAGCGGTCTCCGACATGCCGCAATGCCTTTCCCTTTGAGTCTCCGGAGGGCAAGTCAGAGACATGGGACTTCTCCCACGATGGCTACTACCCTATCACTCCTCCCACAGAGGAGTGCGAGTCGGATGAGGAGCTTGCAACCATTGCTAGCTCCATCGACCTCGAGGCGGAACCGCTGGTGGCCGTCATCGGTGTCGGATACGTTGGAGAGCACCTCGTGGGCAACTTCTCTCGCAAGTTCAATGTTCTCGGCTTCGATGTCTCTGAGGCACGCGTCCAGAGCCTCGAGAAAGAGTTCGGCCCAGACAGCAAGGCCAAGTTCACCTGCAAGCCCAGCGACATGGCGGCGGCCACACACTTTCTCATCTCTGTCCCTACGCTGTTGCGCCCAGACCAGACCATCGACTCGTCCTTTCTGAGGTCTGCCCTCAAGAATGTCGCCACATACGCCCGTCCCGGCTCGGTGGTTGTCGTCGAATCCTCCGTCGCAGTCGGCATGACCAGAGAGCTGCTTGGTCCCTTGGCGAAGGAGCGTCACTTCTTCGCCGGCATGTCTCCCGAACGTGTCGACCCCGGTCGTGTTGAGCCCCCTGCGTTCGCCATCCCTAAGATCGTCTCGGGTTTGGACGACATGGTCCCCGGCTCGTTGAACGCCATTGTCCGCCTCTACTCGCAGGTGTTTGACCATGTCGTACCCGTGTCACGGCCCGAGGTCGCGGAGATGACCAAGCTATACGAGAACTGCCAACGCATGATGTGTATTGCTTTCGCAAACGAGATGGCCGATGCTTGCTTAGGCCACGGTGTTGACCCATACGAGGTGTCTGGTGCGGCGGCGACCAAGCCCTTCGGGTACATGCCTTTCACGCCTAGTCTCGGTGTCGGCGGTCACTGCATCCCGGTCAACCCATACTACCTTCTCTCCAACAGCCAGTTCCCTCTCTTGCAACACGCTACAGAGAAAATGCGCGCACGTCCAGCGGCCATCGCTCAGCGCGCGGTCGAGACGCTGTGTGCCGAGAAGTCGCGGCCCAGTGTTCTCGTCGTTGGCATGGGCTTCAAGAAGGGCCAGTCTCACCTGGCAAACTCCCCTGGCCTCGAGCTTGCAAAGAGCCTTGTTCTGACGGAGAAGGTCGATGTGTGCTGGGCCGATCCCCTGGTCAAGCAGGAGGCGGTGCCGCAGATTGACCGTTTGGACGTCGAGGACTGGAACGTCAAGTCGCTCGAGCAGCGCTTCGACATGGTCATCGTTGCTTTCCGGCAAACAGGGCTTGACTTCGATGTCCTGGGCCAGCTGGAAAAGGCTCGTGTCGAGATGTGGTGCAACTGAAGCTTCAGCCAAGGTTTGCGGCTGCATTGGGCTGACAGTGGCGCTTTCTTCGGTCACCGTCACCCAATCCAACTCGTTCCACTGTCTTTTCATGATTTTCTCTCTCCTCCAATCAGTGGATTTCCATTACCTAGGTTTCTGGTCTCATTACGACCTGTTGTTTGCGATGGTATCTATGGGAGCAAACGGCAGGCTGACAAGCACAGATGGCGTGCCGAGTAGCACGAGGGATATAATGCCTCAGTGCGCACATGTTCTCCCTTTTTTCCCTTTGTTTTCTTTTGTTCTCATCGGAAGGTGTCACGGGTTATTTCGGTAGATAAAACGGTCGAAGTGTTGCGTGTTGACGAAAATCGACTTGGAGGGGAGTATCAACAGCTGTCGACAATAGATGCGAGATCTATATTCCAGGGATTCGTTCCTGTTCCTAATGTCGAATGACAACTTCAACACCCTATCGTCCCATGCAGTGATCTGTGAATTTCGTGTGCTGTAGTTCGATGCACATGTAGTCGAGAGCGAAGGGTCCGCGGATGTTGGGCGTCAACCTTATAAATCCAGCGATAAATTCTTTCCCTGGAAGGTATGTCGGCAAACATGGGACACGTCTTCCAGCTAGCTTCCGTCAGCGCCTCTGCAAGGGAATACAATGGACATTGCTGGCCGTGCCGAGCTGCCGAGCTGCCCCATCTTCGGTGATGCTGTAAGACTTCGGAAAAGGTTGCCGGGCGATGTCGCCCTCGCTGCACGACTAGCAAGCTGGGGCATTGATATATATGGTATTAAGTGCTGTGGCTCTAATCAGTTCTGAGATATGCTGGCGCTCATATCGCGGTGCATTATCTATTGGCATGCGCGATACCAGCAACTAGCCGGGGGTCTTGCTCTCTGGTTGGTAGCCTTACCCGTATCGAGCCATACACTATCTCGATTCTGGAGATAAGAGGGTTGCTTTTTGGATCCCTTTGGGACGGGCCGTATTGACATATCGACTATCTGGGGAAGACGATGCAGGAAGGGACAATACGAGAATGGCATGAGAATCCAGCCGCAGGAGTTGGGCGAAGATGGTGTGTCGGAGGCGGTGAGTGAATTACCAGACAGCAACGGGCCCAGACGGACAGTTATTGGATGAGGTGAGGAGAAATGATTGACGAGCTCAAGAGAGCGCTGCACGTGGGTGATTTTGGGAAAGGCGCCTTGACATCCTCTCCCTTTAGTACTCCCCAAGAACCTGTATAGAGATGCTTTGCTGAGAGTCGCAGATGCGGGTGTCTATTGGTGATTTGCTGCCCTCTGCATGAGCCGGCGGGAGTCGGGGCCGGGAAGCTTCCGTCGTAGCGGTGTCGCGGACCGCGGACTCCATCCACTCGCGTCGCTCGACGGAGATGATGACTAGGTCAAGTCAAATCCGTTCCAAGACCTTACGGAGTAAAGAGTAGGGACCGAGAGTCTTCACGACGACAAGTTGACCAACATGGTCCATTTCTTTTGCTGCCACAAGCTCGTCGATCACCAATCAGCTGACAGCCACAGCCTCATTACGGCGCGGAAGGGAACATGACAAGATCGTATTCTTGACGTCTAGTGATGGCGCAGCGGGTACTTCGGGGTCCGCTGACGACGCGTTTCTAGCAGCAGAGACCCATGAGTGTTGCCGATCAATGGCGCAAGAGTTGATAGTGCCCAGCTTGTTTTTCTCGGAGGGCGCGCGTACCGTCCGTCGAGCCTCTCGGAAAGCTCCCCTCTTCGGCGTCCAGATAACTGATCTCCTCTCGTTTAACTCGCCGATGCAAAGTTGGAAGATTCTGAAATTATCGGTGATCACTCGTGAAGCTTTCGGAGGCTTTCAGCTTCCCTTAAATATAGTAAAGCGACTTTAGAAGCCTGTAATAGTAGCCGTCGGTGCCTTCTTACCTGCTATTCTTCAAGGTCAGCATTTCAACTGAAAGCAATGATGTCTTCAGTCTGTGAGGCTGTTCAAAACTATGCTTGAACTATGGATGGCGCTTAGTATATGAAACTAAAGCTGGTACGTTATTATGAAATCGCGTGGATGTTCGTGCTTCTTCGATTTGAATCACAACCGCTTTATCACGTCTTTTCGTCCTTCCAAAGCATCTTTGTTCCTTTGCGCCGTAATTTGACTTAGTTGGGATGATTCGTGCACTTGCTCAGCACGAGGACC